GTTTTTTCAGACAGGCTCTCACTATGTGATTCAGGCTGGCCTTGAACTCACTATGTAGCCCAGGCTGGCCTTGAACTCATGGCAATCCTCCTGCCTCAGCCTCCTGAGTGCTGGGATTATGGGCATGCACCAGCACACACAGCTCTAAAATATTTTTTTTTTAACTGACAGTATTCTCATTAAAATCTTTATTACGTATCTACTTGTGGCTACCTTGAAAAAATAATTCTGTGGGAATTTGTACCACTGATTTCACATCCATAGTGTGTCTCTTCATGGGAACTTCAGGGTATGTTGCTCTTTTGTTACAAAGAGCAGAGCTCCGTGGTCTGCTGATGTTGCCTATTAGATGAAGCAATAGTGACTGCTGGAGAAGATATAAACCTGCAGTGAAAGATTGGCTCCGCCGACGGCCTCAGCATGTCCCTCCTGTGAACACTGTTATGGTATGTGTGACACACAACAGAGCTGGATGTGAGCTGCACTTTTTTTTTTTGTACCGGGGATTGAACTTGGGTCCTTGGGCTTGCACACCACTAAGTGGCGAAACCACTAAGCTAAATCCCTGGCCCTGTGTGAGCTGCATTTTTTTATAAAACTCTAGTCACTTTTCAAAATCACCAAATCTTCTAAAAGTTTCTTTTTGCATCTAGACCCAAGGTTGGCATAATTTCTCTGCCAGGGCCACACTGTGGGCATTTTCAGACTTGCTGGCCATCTGGTCTCTGTCACAGCTGCCCGATTTGCAGACCTAGCGCCATGAGCTGGCATGGCTGAGTAAAATTCTCATTTACAGATACAAACTTGTATTTTACACAAATTCACATGCTATACAATATTGTTTTGGAATTTGTAAAGGTGGAATTGGCTTGAAATTTGAAATGAGCATAACTGGGGGGCGAGTGTTTAAGTGATTCATCCTACCTCGCTGAGCATTAGGTTAAGATAGAGGCAGAGGAGCTTTACCCTGATCCCAAAGTAATTAGGAATAAATAAATTCTAGGCCAATCTTTGCTGGAATCTTAACAACTGCAGGTGGCTGCTGAGTCACCCCCGCCAGGTCCTTAGGTCTGATCTGTTGCCAACTCACAGTGGGCTCACTAATGGCTTTCGGGCCATGATGTTAATTTCTTCCCAAATGCATGCTATGTATTCTTCTCCAGAGGATGTGTTCCCAGCAACGGACACACACACACACACACTTTAGACTTTCTTCCAGAGGCTGGAAATGGAGCTCAGTGGTAGCACATGGTTATCATAAGGAAGGCCCTGGGTTTAATACCCAGCACCAAAAACCATAAAGAAAACAGATTTTCTCCCAATGGTTTAAAAAATTAAGAACCATTCTTTTTTGGGCAGAAGGAGGAGTCTTGGAGATCAAACCCAGGGCCTAGTAAAGGCCAGGAATTACTCTACCACTGAGATCCATCCCCAGCCCAAACACCATGTTTAGTTCACGAGCTATACCCGAACAACAGGCAGTGGGCTGGGTTTGGCCCATGGCATAATTTGCTGACCTCTTATCAAGATAATCTCACTGAGAAGCAACAGAGAAAGCCAGGCAGGAAGGCACACACCTGTAATCCTAGCTCTCAGGACACTGATGAGGGAAGATCATGCGTTCAAGACAGTCTAGGCAATATAATGAGACCCCCATCTGAAAACCAAAGAAAAAGAACAAAGGAGTATGCACCCATGCTAAAAGAAACCTTGCTAAGCAGTAATAATAAAACATTAAATGTAGGGATTTAAGATTTCACAATGTTGAGTTCTTTTCTTAAAATTTGAATGAACAGTTTGCTCTGTATCACTACAGGTAACAAACCTAACAGTGACTTAATTATAAGGAGAGATTATGGCTGTCCTCGTCACTATGGGTTACCAGGTAGGCACTTTCAGGGCTGGTCCAGTAGCTCATAGAACTCAGCAATGACCATCCTGCTTCTCTGCCATCGCCACAATCTCCCACTGGGTTACAAGGTAGCTAACGCACTTCAGGATTCCCACCTGAATCTTTGAAAAACCACTCCCCAAAGCAGGAGCAGCGAGCTTGGGACTAGGTTCCTTATAGCCACTCTTTCTCTTATTAAGGGGGAAAATCCTTCCCAGAGAGTCAGAAGCAAAATTTCCCTCCGGAAATGGTTCTCCAGACTCATTAGGCAGAACCATTGACTGGCCAAAGAGACCAGGATTACTGGAACACCTGACTGTATCCATCCAGAAGAGGAAGAGGGAAGGCTGGAACTCACTGGACCACACTGACTTGGATTCCAATTACACTGATGTGCTTTGTTGTGTTGTTTGTATGTACAGTACTGGAGATGGAACCTGGGGCCTCATGCTAGGCAACCGCTCTACCACTGAGGTACATTCCCAGCCTGATCCGTATTTCTGTAATGACCTTAAAAATAGGAGATGTAGGCCTGAGATATAGCTCAGTGGTGCCACTGCCTGCCTTGCAAGCGCAAGGTCCTGAGTTCAATCCCTGGAACAACAACAACAACAAAAAATGGGGCATGTGGACATTTAATATGATGGCTAAAATGCAAATCTGTCCTCATTGCTTATTAAAAACTCTTGAAAATTATTCCTTTGTCCTCAGAATCAAGTCCTAATTCTTTACCAGGACTTACAAGGTCCTGAATGATCTCTCTCTGTGCCCCTCCCCTGTCTGTCCTGAGTCCCTTCCACTAGGTAACTCTGTCCCGGCACCACACCTCTCTCCCAGGCCTCCTTCCCTAGGAAGCTTCTCCTAACCAAGCTCAGGCAAGGAGCTGCCTTCCTAATTTCAAGAACACAGGGGCTCTGCTTTACAAAGTAACTGTTTTCAAAGGATTTTAAAAGATATCGACTGCCACTTCCTGTTTTTTGTTTTCTGGGGATTGAACCCAGAGCCTTTCCCGCTGCACTACACCCCTGTCATATGGCCCCAAGTTCCTTTTGTGTAAACAGATCATCTTTAGTTAGGTCCTCATGAAAACACCTTCTGTAGCTCTACCCCAGTGCTACTCACACCAGTTAGTGACCTTTACTACTCTCATGACATATAAATTCCTACTTACCGCCAGCATCAAAGTGAATAAAAAATAAGTGTACAATTCATTGTACTGAGGAAATGACATAACTTGTCAGATGGAGCGAAGTCTTGTCTTTCTTTTCGTGGTGTGGGGAAAAAACCCAGGTCTTTGAGCAAGATTAAAATAAGAGTGAATCGGCTGCCAAATTTTGATCTCTTTAATTTTGGGAGTGATGCTCAGCCAGTAGTGAAATCAGCTGATTTATTCATAATTTTCCTATTGAGTGTTCCTTTTTAGTCCTCTTTCCCATGACTTACAAGGTCCTGAATGACCCACCCCCATTTCAGGATCATTTCTCTCTCCCCAAACACCCTAAATCAATCATCTTTTAGTTTCATTTTTCTTGTTAAAGGCTAGTTAATCCCAGACTCATGTTGTTAAAGTTAACTTGAATGTGGAGCCACAACATTTTAATTAGGCTTAAAAGATATATGTCTAGCCAGGTGTGGTGATGGCACACCTGTAACCCCAGCACTCGGGAGACTGAGGCAAGAAGATTGGAAGTTGGAGTCCAGCCTGGGCTATATAGGAAGACCCCATCTCAAAAAACCAACGAAAAACTGAAGAAAAAAAAAAAAGAGGTAGAGAGATGTGTATCTATGAATATGCCAAGGTTTGAATGTGTCCCCCGAAAGTTTGTGTTGGAAATTTAACCCCCGAATTCATGTTAGTGGCAAACTGAGTTGGAGTGTTTGGGAAGTGCTTAGACCAGGTGGTACGGGTTTCAGTGATGGTATCCCCAGGGTGAACAAGGGCAAGCCCTTTCTATATTAATTTGTATTTGAAACCATTTAAATTACATACAGGGGCCGGGGATTCAGCTCAGTGGCACCACACCTGCCTCGCAAATGCAAGGTCCCGAATTCTATCCCCAGTACCAAAACCCAAAAACAAAGACAAAAATTACATTCAGTACTGAGTGGCACAGTGGGTAACACTGAAGTCACATAAGAGGTGATGACTGTGGAACTCGGTTTGGGAACCCAGCCTTCCTTCGAAACAGGGTCTCACTGTGTTGCCCAGGCTGACCTCCGACTCCGGGCCTCAAGCAGTCCTCCTGTCTCAGCCTCCCAAGTAGCTGACACTATCGGAGAGCACCACTGCGCCTGGCAGAGAGCAGGAACATTTTAAATGCAGATTAGGCAGCCAGTTTAAATTACATCTTTGTTTTTGAGGAAATAGGGTCTTGCTATGTTGCTCATGCTTGCTAAACTCCTCGCTTCGCATAACCCTGCCGCTGGCCACTTCGTCCAGCTAAAAGTGCATTTTTTGAATTTGGTATATAGCCAAAAACACATGGCTTGGTAATTATAGGACTCTGAACGCATCCTGACAGCGTGGGTCCGAGGCTCTCGAGACCCACGGGCGCTCCTTGGTTTTCTCTTCCCCACTCCTCCGCGGGCCTGGGCGCGGAGTTCCGGGCATGGCTCGTGTCCCCTGAGAGGACAGCCGAGGACAGGACAGCCGGTGCAGAGACCTGGACAGGGTCCCACGGTCTGCGACCCTTCTGCGGAACCCTGTAAGATCCGCACAGCGGCCAGAGAGGCGCGCGTGACCCGAGCTGTGGGTCTGGGTTTGGCAAGCTCCCCGGCGGAGACGGCGGAGCTGCCGGGCTTTTCTTTCGGCCGCGAACCCAGCGCGGGCCGCAGGTGGCGGCCTGGCCTTTCCGCCTGCCAGGTGTGCGCGCAGGTGCGGCGAGGGGGCGGGGCCTGCCGGTCCAGGGGCGGCTGCGGCCCCGGCCCCTCCCAGGGCTTCCGCTCTGCCCCGCGCGTCCTCGTCCGCCAGCCCAGTAGCGCTCCCGGCTCGTCCCTCGTCCCGCGCCTCGGCCGCGGCGATTGGCTCAGGAGGGCGGGGCGGGACCTTGGCGATTGGCTCGGGAGGACGGGGCGGGGCGCTGCGGTCCGCAGGTGAGCGCGGACCTAACCCTGTGCTACGAGGAGTCTCCCGACCTTCTGAGTCGCGGCGAACTCGGGTCCCATTGCCGGAGAGCGCGGAGCCGCCCGCCAGCCCGGCACCATGAGCGGCGACTTCCGGCGCGTGGCGATACGGCGCAAGTCCAACCTGCCCCACCTGCCGCCGGGGGTCCCGCGGCCCTGGAGCGCCCCTGCCCAGCGCGTGGGGCTGGGGGGGCTGCCTGCCCCCGGGGGCCGCGCATGCGCAGAGCCGGCAGGTGAGCGCCGCTGGGCGGCGAGCGGGCGCGACGGGCGCGACGGGCGCGACGGGCGCGGACCCTGGTCTCGAGGCGAACCTGGCAGCGAACGACTCAGTTCTCGTCGGGGAGCTTAGAACTAGAACGGCCGCCTGAATTTCTTTTTCTTTCTTTCCTTCCCATTCTTTAAAACTCTCCCCGCTCGTGGTCGCCGGAGAACTCTGAGGTGGCTTGGCCTCCGAGACAAAACCCTCGCTAGAGCAGCAGAAACGCAGGCGCTTTTGTTAACTATCATGCATTTTGTCACGATTAAGCAGAGCTCTTTTGGTGATTTAAATATGATAAATGTTGGAGATTTTAAATGTTCCCGTCACGTCCTTGTGACGTATAGGGCAAAAGACCACGAATGCGTGATGGATTACAAATATTTGAGCACATCAGATGAGGGCAGAGACGGCCGTGTGGGAAAATCTGTCTGCAGTGAACTGAATGACAGTGATTTCGGTCTCGGTGTATTTCTTGCAGAATCGGGACGCTGTTGAAGTAATTTCTGAAACCTTGCAGTTTTAGGTTTGATTCGTTCTTAAATGAATGGAAGAATGGTTTATCAAGCGAAAATGCTTTTGTTTTGAAGGTACTTACTATTTTTTAACTTAACAGAGCCAACTTGCTGATCAGCTGTTTTCAACTTGCAAATGGTGGGGTCCAGATTCTTTATATTGTCCTTTTACTAAGATCACCTGGTTTACTTTCAAACACTCTGACTTGGTGAACAGAATATAAATAAATCCCTCTTGGAAGCAAAGGCGAGTGCTGCAGGGCATAAATCGTGTGTAAAGCAGCTGTACTTATGGAAGGACCCCCCCCCGCGCACCCCATTCATTTATTTTTGCGGTGCCAGGTAGGGATGGAACCCAGGATTTGGCGCAGGTCAGACAGCTGCTTTTCCATGAGTTACACCCCCAGCTATTCTTTTTTTCTTTTTTCAAGGAGAATCCAGCAACAACTTTTCTAGGTTTGTTACATTGTTTACTCCGTGAAACTCAAAGTCCTTGTTGGTATTATTTTAAGGCTTGAAAGATAGAATTACTGTATCTTTTTTTTTTTTGATAATTACTGTATCTTAATAGGTATAGTTGTTCCCCTTGTATATTATAATCTGTAATGTCTGTAGAAGAATCTAGTTTCGTTTTTAAAATTTAACTTACTTATTTTTAAATTAGGACACTTGCAGTATTTTAAACAACTGGGCAACCACACCCTGTGGGGAGGAAACATTATAGAAAGTGCTTCCTTATTTGGATTAAACCCTCTTCCCTGTTTTGTGGCATCATTTATTATTACATAAGCACCCCCCCAAAAAATAAACGTGATATAAATTCTTGAGAAGTACCAGTTCACTTCATAACACCCAGGGCAATACTGATATATAAAAACCATAAAATTTAGATGCATTAATGTGGACATTACTAAATAGAAATGTTACTTTCCCTCTTAAAGAAGCAATAAGGGCTGGGGGGTGTAGCTCAGCATTGGAGGGCTTGTCTGGCACATGTGAGGCTTTGGGTGAGACTCCCAGCACCGAAAAAAAAATTAAAAATAGAGGGAACAAAACCTGAGAGGTTAAGAACTTGGCAGAGAATTCAGTCAAGCAGTGCTGTGCTGTGGTCTCTCTTTATGAAATCCACTAATTTAGAGTTCTCTGATTTTTGGACCGGGGATTTAGCTCAGTGGTGCCACCACCTGCCTCAAAAGCACAAGGTCCTGAGTTCGATCCCCAGTACCAAAACCAAAAAAGTATGATACTAGAGTTCTCTGACTTTTTTGCTCAAAATAATATGAAAATAAGCTAGGTTTGGTGGTGCATGTCCATAATCCCAGCACTTTGGGAGGCCAAGGCAGGAAGATCACAAGTTTAAGCCAGCCCAGCCTGGGCAAATGAGTGAGACCTAGTCTCAAAATGAAAGAGACTGGAGATGTAGCTCAGTGCAAAGTCCCTGGGTCCAATCGCTAGTAAAATGGAGGAAAAGGGGCTGGGGATTTAGCTCAGTGGCATCTCCCCTGCCTCGAAAGCGGGAAGTCATGAGTTCAATCCTTGGTACCACCCCCCCACACACACACACAATGGAGAAAAAAAGAAAGTCTACACACTATATCCACTGCGTGTGCCTGAGTGTGAAGCTCTCCCAGGAGTGCAGCAGAGAAGAGAAGGCATTAAGGGCAGAATGTCAGGGTTCAGCAGCACCCAGGTTCTAGTCCCTCTTCCATCACCAGGTGTGAATTGGGCCAGTTTCTTAACTTCGGAGTTTCTTCATCTGGACAGTGGAAATGACAGTCCTTTCTATGATTGCTAGGGGCATTAAATACAACTCTACAGGTATGACAGGCACAAAACAAACTACTAGGTGAGATCATAACAAGAACTCACTTGCTTATCTGTGTCCCAAAAAGTCTGACAGCATTAGGACAGGAGACTGTCTATAATAGTTTTTTTTAAAAATAATACCTGTTGAATTAATAAATAAATGGTCTCCTTCTTTGATGTTCATAATAGCTGCTATTTATTGCATGTGTTTTTGTTTTTGAGATAGAGTCTTGTTATGCAGTCCAGGCTGATCTTGAACTCATTGGTATGTAGTCCAGTCTGGCCTTGAATTTGCTGTGTAGCCCAGACTCGCCTCAAACTCGAGATCCTCATGCCTCAACCTCTTAAGTGCCGTCAAATACATTTTCTATGTGAAGAACTGTGCTGTGGTATACACAAGTATATATGTATAAATTTACTTGACAACAGTCCTCGGTAGATAATATTCTGCTCAATTTACAGCTGAAGAAGTTGAGGACAAAGTTGTACTAATGTACTCATGAACTGAGTTGTACTCATGAACAAAAGTACTCATGAACAAATGTACTCATGAACAAAGTTGTACTCATGAACTGAGGATGGAGGCAGGATTCAAATCTCAGTGTGTCTGGCTTCAGAGGTGATAGTCTGACAGAGCCTACAGCAGTCTCTTTGAGGCAGGAGGTATCTGTTAGTATTAAGCAAATGGTGAGAAGCTGAGAGTAAAAAGGGTAATACCATAGACACCAGGTCATCTTTAGGCTTGGAAAGGGGATGTTTTGACTGTCGTGACCCCAAAAATTAAAGTTTAAAGATCCAAACTCATTAGATTACTCTTTCAAAACAAAATTTTTAGCCCAGAACAATGGCACATTGTAATCTCCAGCTACTTAGGAGACTAAGGCGGAAAGATTGAGGTTTGAGCCCAGCCTGGACAACTTAGCAAGACCCTGTCTCCAAATTAAAAATAAAAAGGGGCTGGAAGTGTAGCTCAGTGGATCTACCTGATTTCTGACCTACTTCTATCAATAACTCCTCCATTAATTTCCTCAAATCCGATTATGGATCATATCTTTCCCATGGTAAAAACAAAACATTACATGGTTCCCTAGAGGCCCCTTGTTGACATCTGTAAACAGATGTCTTTTGTCTAGAAAAGATCACCTTCAATTGCTGCATAACCTTTTACCAGTAAGTAATTCCTTATTATCGAGGCACCTTCTGAAAACTTGTACGGATAGTGATCTTTTTTGTCCGGACTCTTGGAGGGGGCCAGCCAGGCCTTGAGTGCACTGTAGTAGTGGTGTTTGTTCCCAGGAGTTCACTTGGCATCATTTGCAGAGCATTGTATTGAGTTGGTCATCATCCGGGATCGCAGCGCAGGGCTGCTTTAACACAAGTGTCTGGGGTCCTCAATCAGCTTTGTGTTACTGCCTCACTTCTGTAGGACCAGAGTGAAGCCACCCCAGCCCTGTGCCCTTCATTAGCTTATGATAGCATGTGGTGGATCTGACAGAATCCAGGCTTTTATGTACGCTGAAGCAAAGACTTGCAAGTATATATCCAATAGTAAAAGAGAAAGCCACTACATTTATTGAAGGTAACAGGAAGATGTGCTCAGGGCAGGTCTGTACAGCAGAAATAAGAATGTGGCATGGACAGAATAGTGGTGTCTGAGTGGTAGGGAAATAAGCACACAGATCAATCAGGCTTTTGGATTCTAAAAGCTGTGCACCCCAGCCCAGGTGCCTCTCACTGGGTCTCTGGATAAGACTGACAGGAATGATTGACAGGGTGCTGAGACATCTCAGGGGCTTTCCAGACACAGGCCTGTCCCAGAGTTCACTGTTATTAAATGACATACACGAGATGCAGTCCATGTGGATGAACCTTGAAATCTGACATGCATGTGCTCTAGACTGGAGCAATAGAGGTTTCCAGCGTCTTTGCCATTTTATTGTTGCTTCTGTTAGAATAACGGAGGGAGGATTGGCCCTGGGGTGTTGCCCAGATTCCTTTGGGTAGAGGGGTAGTGGTTTCCCAGTCCCAGTTGTGCTACCTGTACTTACACCTGGCCTGGCCCGCAAATGCCTGGCCTCCTTGGCAAGGCTGGCCCGGTCCTTTGTGATAGGCTCCCTGGTAATGATGGCTTTAAAAAGCTGAATGGCTTTAAGTTAAGTTCATTTTGGGCTGGGGATTTAGCTCAGTGGTTCCGCCGCCTGCCTCGCAAGCGCAAGGACCTGAGTTCGATCCCTGGTACAAAAAAAAAAAAAATTAAGTTCATTTATACAATGTTTTGTTAAATAGATGCTAGGAAATAAAAAGTCAACATCTAGAATCAGAGAAGTTATAAGCCATCCTAACTGAAGACTGCTGTGGGTTGTTGCTGGTAATTTCAAGTGTGAGGCAGTATAGTCTGTCAAACATTGTCAGAACATGGGATAGCCAGACTTACTTAAAAATAATATCCCTCCAGAGAAAAATGAGGCTGTAAAATGACCTTTGTTTTCTCAGCAGAAACTTGAGTAAGCTGTAACCTTTCTCCTAAAACCTGGTATCTTGTCATACTGAGGACTCACCAATATGTTAAGTAGCATTGAGAATCTAGAGGTGAACGGGACCAGGGCCTTGACCTTGAGTACTTGCATTCTGGAACACAGAATATGATGTACAACAA